AGGAGAAAAGCTAGGAAACATGACAGGAGCAAAACCATACATTTATATGCACAAGATGGTTCCTGAGAATCTTCAGCAGGTTTTTGAAACTAGTGGTTAATTGGTAGGATTCTCACCCTGACTAACTGTATATGATGATACCTGTGAACTAAGCAACGGCACTGAAGATAGCAATGTGTACTAGTAGGGTCATGCTTTGAATGTCTGTCATTCTGGTCTTCTAAATACACACTGCTTATCATGTCATACCAATTACTGAGATACTGTCTCTCAAGTAAATGTTTGTTTTAAAAAGGGTAATAAATGAAAACAAGAGACAAGAAAAAAAATATCATAGGACTGCCCTGCTACAATGCTGTATATGCTTAGATTTCTAAATTTCTGTGTAAAAATATGTAATTGTTTATTGCTATTTTTTAAATATATTTTTCTTTTTTATTCTTTTTTTCCTTCACGTTCTGTAGTGATTTAAAGTTTAACGTATCAATACTTGATGGAAAATATCTGTTCCATGCTATGCCTAAGATGTTTGATATTCAGACAGATAGTGAGGTTAAGCTCAACTGCCTATGTTATAGGGTAATAATATCATTAAGCTTGCCTTCTTGAGGGTTAACAACATAAGTTTGCAGTCCACCATGTAGTTTATTCTCTTCAAAAGAATACTAATGTTGGAAGATTCTCCACTGCAGTTCATGCTTTATAAAATGAGAGGCAAAGCCAATACCCACTGGAAGTTTCATTAGCCTAACTCCACGATTACCCCATTTTCTTCAACACCTGTAACCATTATCAAACCACATACATAACTATTTCCATTGAGAAGAAAAGATTAAATTCTTACCCCTTTAGGTAATACTGTTATTGTTTTCCACATGGATGCATGGTGGGTCTACAGACTTCTTTCCAAGCAATTCTGCTCATATCATTTATTTTTATCAGTGCTGTCCCCATCTTTTATCCCATCATATTAAATTCAGTCCCCATAAAGGCCCAATTATGGCAACAACTGGGTCATTAACTTCATCATAATTGCCCCAATAATAAATAATTTTTATTATTGTGTCATAGTATGTTTCCCCATTTCAATTTCAACATGACTATCTTAGTCACTTTCCTTATTCCTGGGACAAAAGTATCTGATACTGAAGATTTAAAATAGGAGTGCTTTATTTATTTATTTATTTATTTTGCAGTACTGGGGATTGAACTCAGGACCTTGCACTTGCCAAGTAAGCACTTATTCTACTGAGCTATCTCCCTGGCCCGAGGAGAGCTTTATTTTGCCTCATGGCTTTTACAGGATTCAGTCATCTGGTTCCAGTGCAGGAAGGCCATTAATGGTGAAGAGATAAACCCTTCCATGTTGCTCCCCCAAAATGACTCTTCTCTGGGGCCCCACTTCCTAACAGCACCCTCAACTCTGGATTTATCAGTGGATTGAACTATTGAATATAGTACCTCCATGATCCCAATCACTTCTAAAAGCCTCATCTTTGAACACATGAGACTTTGGAGGAACATCTACATCTAAACAATAAAAACATTTGTGTTGCTTTGGTGCAGAAGACAAGGGGTAATAAGTTAAATCAGTCCTACTCACGATACTTAGTGAGTGTGCACGAGCACACACTCACACTGCCAAGCTGAGGAGGTAGGAGTTCATGCTCTAGCTGCTAGGTAGACGTTTTAGCCTTTGGTTTACCTTGAACAAAGTTTTTCTACTCATTTGACATTACAGCCAGATAATTCCTTATTGTAAGAGTTTTGCTGTATGTTGTAGGGTATTAAGTAGTATTCCTAGCTGCTTCCTGCTTGTTGCTAGCAGCAACCTGCATCACCGGTGTGATAACCAAAAATGGCTCCAGGCATTGCCAAATACCACCTGGACTGGGGCAGCAAAATCAACCCTCATTGAGAAGAATACCATAAAATGAAAGAACAGCATAAGGAAAATAGTGTATATGTAAGACTTGGTACTGCCCAATTTCAGGGGGTCTCAAAACATGCCACATATATAAGGAAGAACATCTGTGCATAAAATATTTAAAAACGCATCTTGAAATTTGAAAATGTAATAGCCCCCAAAAACATAATACCGAGGTTAGGAATTTTTCTTAAGTTTCGTAAAAATAAGGCAAAATAGAAAAACATGAGAAAATACAAGAAAATTAGATTGTCCATCTAGGTATTTCATCATAGGAATAGCAAAAAGGTAGGAAAAAAAGGAGTAAATCAGAGAAAGACAGTGTGAAGAATACCACTTTCCAGATTGAATGGTCTTATCTAGTGGGTAAGACCAAATGAATAAAAGCAAAGAGGCCCAGAATAAGGAACATCTTTTCAGGTCCCTTGGAAGAAAGAGAAGATGTTCAAAACTGTGAGGAAGAACAAAATGACTTTTGACTTCTTAGCAGCTAAGTAGAAACTAGAAGACAATGAAATAGCACCTTTAGAATTCTTTTTTTTAAATGCATTTGGTTGTTGCAGGGCCTCACTATGCAGCTCACACACATAGTGATCCTACTGCTTTCAACTTCCCCAGTGCTGGGATTACAGGCCTGTGCCACTATGCCCAGACTCTGGCTGGCTCAGCCCACCATAGGAGTGGGGCCGGTGCAGCATGTGGTGCCAGGAATCTAACTGTAGTTCTTGTGCTTGCCTAAGCTTATCTAAGCAGGCACTTTAGTCTGCTAAGCTATCTCGCCACTGCTCCCTACCCCCGAAACTTTATTCTGAAGGCTGTGTTTTTCAGATCTTGAATTATATGCCCAAATCATCAAGTAAGCAGGGGGTAAAATACACACATTGTTTAGGTTTTCAAGATCATAAAGCTGATACGCTCTCTTCACCACACCCCCCATACAAATAATATATGGCATCATAGAACCACATGGCATCCTAGAACCACATATCCAACATGTGATAAAAAAAACATGCAAGGGCATCCTAGAAGACAACTGGAAGAAGTCCAGTGCAAAAGTGTGGAATTGGGAAGTGGCAGAGAAGTAGCTCTTACCCTTGAGAGAAATCTCAAGGGAAAAATGAAACCTAGAGGGTAGTTGATGTATTTGAGTAGATCATGGAGATGTCTAATGCTGACAAGAAGTTTAGGGACATTCATCTACAAATTAGACAATAAGAAAAAAACATGGCAAACATTAAATTATAGCAAAAAGATTTTACAAGATAGAAACTCTATCTCTAGTCATTATATGACTTAGCCATGCATAACATTTTCATAGTCACAATAACATAAATACTAACCCCCGATTTATACAAAATTGTACATAACTATTGGCGTGGGAGAGAGAACAGAAATATGTTTCCATGTACACCTATGTCAGGAGGAATGAGGGGTTAGACTGAAAGCATCAAAATCCCATTTTCAACAAACCTTAGTGATGGAAATTAACTGGTAAGCTCAAGCTGGAGTGAGTGTGTGTGAGTGTGTGTGTTGAGGTATGCATCAATATCAGCACATTCTTTGTCTGAAATGCAAAGGTACAAGGCAGAATAGCGAAAGAACTGTAAGTATTTGCCTTCAGAGTGGGAATTAGACATGAAGGAGTCTCCACCATAGTATTCTAGCCCACATAATTTTTTTTTATTTTAATACTTGAATTTAGTATTTCTTCTTCTTTATATTTCTATAAAACATTGCTGGCACATACTCTTCCATTTTTATCCACCCCCTGCTCATCGCCCTTATGAGAACACCTCCTTTTGCCCCAAGAAGTGTCTGCATACCCATATATAGAGATAAAAAGATGGTTATTTATTTTTATGCCTGCCTCTGTCCTTAGCAAGGGTTTTTGCCCTTGCTTATGGTACATACCCTTCCGGAATTTGGTGAAATCTATGAAAGTATTTGCATAATAATGTTTGTAACATACATACAACAAAATACAAGGAACTACACAAGAATCCAATTGCACTGAAATACAAAGTTATGAACATATTAAAAATAAAAGATTTATGATTGCTATAGCAAGTTTCCCCAGGAAATACACAATGTACTGGTGTAATATAGTTTCCTAAATTGATCCAATTTCAAGGCCTTGGGCAAAAGGGGAACCGGTTCCCCTTCAAGAAGCTGATTAAGTCCATACCCCCAACCACCTCTCTCATGGGGGTCTCATGCTCTGAGCCACCATACACTTTCCCTAATGACTGCATGGCCAGGTGTCAAGCTCCTGGGAAACTGCCCCTGTATCTCTGTATCCCAGTGCTAGCTGAACTTATTCAAATTACCCAGTCTTCAACTTATTGCCTTGTTTTCCTTGTTCTTTTCCATAGAAACCATACTAAGGTCTTGTCCACTGATTTTCCTTCACCCTTTGCCTTGTGATTAATCCTGCTATGTCCATTTTCTCCTTCCACAGAATTTGTTGCGTACATTCCTGATAGAATCAAATGCTAAACTTCTGTTGGAGGTAAATGAAAATACAGACATCTGTGTCCATATACCCAGTTACGGCGGCCTTGGAGGCAGAATCCTATCTTGTTTATTTTTACATCTCTAGAGCCAAGCACAGCTCTGGACACCTACTGATGTTGCTTGAATCATTGCTATGACTTGATTTATCATTACAGGTAGTCTATATGTATTGAATTATGGTACTGTAGTTTACAAATAAATACAAATGTTATATATGCCAATTAAAAAATAAAAATGCAAAATTAAAATACCTGACAGGACTACATTTTTAAAGAGCATCAATATAAAATTCTTCCAAAGTACCACGTCTGCCGCTTAAAGCATGTTTAATAGCAATCTTCTTCCTAGGGAAGCCTCCGGACCCGATGAAACTCTCTCACAGCTCTGTTGAGTCAAAAGAGGCGCCTGGTTATGAGAGGAGGGGCCCAGTGCGGGCCCTCACGCTGATAGGTCAAGAAGTGTAGGGGGCGGGACCTGTTTTCCATGAGTGACAAAAGCCCCTTCCCTTGGGCCTTAAGCCCGCCTCCACGCGCCCGGAAGTCCCGCCTTCGGTAAAGGAAGTAAAGAAGCGGTAAAATGCCGACTGTGACCGCGGCGACAGCGGTGACCCAGTGAGGTGAAAGTAGCGGCAGGTGGCGGCTGGTCATTTACCTTCTGGGCTCGGGCTGGAGGTTAGAGGCGGTGAGAGTGGCTTGGGGCAACCCTGGGAAGGACGTAGGTGCCTGAGGTGACGCCGACCGTGACCGGTGAGGTCTGCGGACCACCTGCTGGCGGTGGGGCGAGCGGGCTGGGTGAGAAGAGGACTGGCAGCGTTCCCCACCTGTTGCTGCCCTTTCCTCCCTTCCTTCCTCGAAGTCCCATTTGTGTGCTACACCCTGCCTGCTAAGGCCCGGGGACTGAAAGTCTAGTATTGGGTGGTATGCCTCCCCTCCCCCATCACGTCACCATCTCCACTACCCCCCCCCACGCCGTGCTCACGCGCTACTGTAGTGTGACGTGGGCCCCACATCAACTGCCGAATTCCCACTCCCTTAGAAACATATGCCCAGAGGGCGACGTTGTTTTCAAAGGATTTCCCAAAGGGGTCAGTGTATTTAAAGGAGTATCTTAAAGTAAGTATCCTACCCAGGTAGGTTCCCAAGGAGTGACAAAGAAGAAGAAAAGGGTTAGCCAAATTAAGAGTATTAAGGGACTAGTACAATTGTAGGCATCCACCTTAATTTATCTCTTTACTTTGGCAGTTGGATATTTAGAGTTATTTGGAGTCAACACTTTGATTCCACCCATGGGTTTGTCAACATCTACTCCCAGTGTTGCAGTTCAGAACGCAAATGCTTCAGATCATCAGACAGCATCACCGCCTTCAGAATGCCCAATGCATGCAAGGAAAATTCAAGGTAATTGACCCTTTGTTGAGATAATTGAAACAACAGATAATTCCCAGGAGGTCTTAAAGGAAGGGGCGTATAGGTGAGGCTCATAGGCCCTCTGGGGCCAGTCCTGACTTGGGCACTTATGAATTGTAAGTCCCAGTCTGTTATGTAAGATGAAAGTACAGTATAATACTAGTATTTCACGGTTAGGATGGTTGTGATGATGAAGGAGAGTATGATTGCTTTGTAAATCAGCTCTGCCTCCCTGAAGTTTGTCTGTGTGTCTGTATCAGTAGTTTTCAACAAGAAGTGGGAGGAGCAGTCCTCTGTCTGCCAGGGGATATCTGCCTATGTTGGGAGACTTTCAGTTGTCACAACAGAGAGGAAAGATAGTCCAGGCATCTAAGTGGGTGCGGACCAGAGGTGCCACTAAACATTCTGCAATGCGCAGGACCACCCCCTGACAAAAACCATCTGGCCTCAATTTTCAGGAATGCCCAAGTTGAGAAACTTTGGCCTAAATCGAGCTATCTTAGTAAATAAACTTTACTCCTATATCACTTACAATATTCTTCTATGTAAAAAATAAGCTATTACCAGGTGGACTTGTGATTCATTCTTTCAGTGCACGGATAAAAATTTATTTATTTATTTTTTTTTAAATTTTTTTTATTTATTTATTTATTTATTTATTTGAGAGAGAGAGAGAGAGAGAGAGAGAGAGAGAGAGAGAGAGAAAGAGTGTGTGGCCAGCTCAGCCCACCAGGGGGCAGGGCTGGCTGGCATGTGGTGCTGGGGGATTGAACCGCGGTCCCTGATGCTTTTGCTAAGCTTGTTCCAAGTAGGTGCTTTAGACCACTGAGCCATCTCTCCAGCCCCACGGATAAAAATTTAAAAGGCTGTTTTATACTTTCAGTTGGTGTAAGTCTATGTACATTGTTCATAATGTTTGTCTTGGATCAGTAAGAAATGAGGGGCAAAGGTGACATGATGTGCTTACCCAGTATTGTTGCTAGTGGTATAGTCATCTACTTCCTTGGCCAGCCAGGGCACTGCCCATTCTGTACCACCCCCTACTGGGTTTTGTTTGTTAGTTTCTGCACTAAGATAATAGCATTGAATAGGACAGACAAAATCCCTTTACTTAATGGAGCTCATATTCTTATCTTAATCCTGTATGGCAGGTTTTCTCCCTGTTTTGTAGTCAATGACACCAAAGGTCAGAGTTACTAGTATGTTCCAAGTCACACAACTAGTAAGTGACAGAGCCAGTGAAGATTCCGTGATGTTAGACAATAACAGATGCAATATTCTTCTGACATTTCTTCTAGGAATTCAGACAGATCAAAGCAGGTGTACTCCTTAGCTAAGTGTCTGTCCCCCCAAAAATTTAGAGAATCTTCTATTTTTATGTATTTAGTACAGGGTTTCCATGGTCTCCTTACACAGATCTAAGTCATAGTGATCCTTCCTGTTTTTCAGACCCCCAAGCACTGGGATTACAGGTGCACGCCACCATGCCAAGTCTCAGTCACTATCTCAGTGCACCCTTGGGGGTGGGGCCGGCCGGCAGGTTGGGGATCACACCCCAGGCCCCTGTGTCTGCCTAAGCAGGCACTTCAATCCACTGAGTTATCTGGCCGGCCCTAAAAGAACCTTCTCTTGATTTTATTTAATTTTCTATCTGTTCTGGAGAGTTGTCATTCTGATTTATTGGCATTACTAAAGAGTGAAGGCTTGTGTAGTAGATGAAAGGGGGGTATTGCATATATAATAGGAAAATATGTAACACTTGTTTTCTTTCTAACATCCAATTGGGATCAGTACCTTAGAAAGAATTGCTGCTTTAAATGGTAGCGAGGTAAGGTCTAGCTACTCTGGCTATACTTATAAAGTGGGGTACTAGGGAATATGGGGCTGGAAGAAGAGACTAAGGAAGGAAAAGAAAGGAAGCTCATATTTTTTGTACCTGGCATTTAGCCTTCAGTATATTCTATAAGCTGATTAACACAGGTGTTATGGCTTGTCTAGATGTCCCCTCAAAGCCTTATGTGTTCATAAGACTTTGAGCGGGACTTTTCAGAGGTAGACAGATTTAAGGTTTGTGCTGTTGGAATTAAATGTGTGATGCTGGGATTAAGGGTGTTTACTAAATTAATCCATTCATCAGTAGTTCAGGGTGTGAAATAATAGAAAGGCTCACCCTAGGTGAGTGCTGCCTGCCCTAAGGGTGTATAACTTGGCTGGATATAAAGGGATAGAAAGCAGACAAGCTGGCTGCTGCTGCTTCCTCAGTAGTTTCCTGCTTTGCTGCCTTCCTACCTTCTGCCTGGCATAAACGGTTTCTCCTCTGTGCTGCCCCTCTGCCATGCACCCTGCCTTGGAGCCAGCCAACTCTGAACTGAAACCTCTACAAACTGAGCTACAATAAACCTTTTCTCCTTTGACTTTGGGTGTTGGGTATTTTGTCTCAGCAACAGTCTCAGTAACATTCATAGTTACAGGGCAACTGCCATGCTAGGCTACCATTATGCAGGTGCCTGCCCTCTCTTTCAACTTTAAGACTGACTTCTTAATGCCCATGCTTGCCCTGTCAGCACTCTGGATCCTTTGGCATTGATTTCCCTTTCTGGCATTCCACTCATTATGCTCCAGCTTTCTCCCCTAAGAAGCATCTGAGTCCTACTTGGGTTATGAATCATTTTCTGAAAAAAATAAAAAAAGAAAGAAAGAAAGAAAGAAAAAAAATGAATCATTTTCTGTAATATCTGCCTTTTTTCATAAATTCTTTGTATCTGCCAATAAGGAATAGCACCTTGGCCAAGTAGACCTTCCTATGCCTTGTTTTAGTCTTGGAGTAAAACACAAGCAGAGTGGTGCTGAGATTTTTCTCCAGTACCTTCAGTTCTCCTCTGCTTATTTTCTTCTCCTGTCCCCAGTACTTAAGACAGTGCCTCAGTGAAGGCTGCTTAGACTGCAGCTGCCTCCTCACTGGGCCTGAGCTTGTCTGGAGATAATGAGTGGACATGAAGGAGACATAGCGAAAGTGGCCCAGCCCCTCCTTAGGTTTCTCTCATAGCTCACACCTGCTGGCTCAAGCAGCGGCCTTCTAGCCTATTTCAAACACTGTGGCACAGTCATGCATACCCTTGATCTGCGAGATTTTCTGGTACATTTCTGCTGGAAATATGATACAGGGAATGGGAAAGTAAGGTACAGAGCTCTCTCATCTTTAGCATTTTTTAATGTTAGCTAGCTTAGTTTTTGCCAGCTTTAAACAGAAGAAATCTAGTTTTTCCTATGGCAGTCAGCCAGATGGCATGCCTTCCTAGTGACACCATTTTAATCTTGATTATTTCAGGCTGTCCATTAAGTGAGAAACTATTTGGTCCACGTAGTGATAGCAAAACTTACTCCGTGCCTGCCCACCAAGATCGAGCATACGAGTATGTGGAGTGCCCCATTACTGGTGCCAGAGTGAATAAGGAGAACCTGGATCCTTCAAATCTGGTAATCCATGTTTATCTCTTTCTGGAACATGTTAAAAAGAAATATTTTCATAGTCTCCAAGGACAACCTGTGTACTGTGTAGTGTACTATAGGATATGTGGCTCCATCCCTGGCCTCTGCCCACTGGACATCATGAGGGTATCAGCCAAAACATGATGGCCAAAGATGTCTCTAGACATTTCCTGGAGTGCCCCCGGTAGACCACTCATCTAGATTATCCCTAATGGCTTAGTGGTTTAGAACATGGATCTTTGAGAATCTTACAGAGCCAGGCTATTACCTCAAGGGATTGTTTTATGTCATGAGAGTATGAACAACAGTTGACTTTTCTTTCAGAATTTTCTCTAGTGTTTCAGCCAAGCACACATTTTCTTCGTTAGGCTTATTACAGCTTAATGTGGTATTTTTTAGTGCCCTTACTTTAAAGCTAAAGATACTCAGAGTGAGAGAACATGAGCAGTTTGCCACACATCACTCAGCTAGGTATTGACAAAACCAAATCTGATTCACACTCAAATCAGCCCTGTGTTCTTAAACACAGGGTGATAATGTTAATAGTGCTTATCACACTGGGCGCTCCTGCTGTTAATGTTCCAATGAGAGGCCATGTGGTGGCTGAGCTTTTGCATCATGATGTGGAATTGGTAGAAAATCCCTTATACTGTTGATAGGAAAAGAAGTCCTAGGCCAGTGATTCTCAGCCTGGGGTGATTTGCCTCCCCACCCCCCACACCCCAGTTAGCAGTGTTTACAGTTTTGGTTGTCACAAGCAAGGAGGAATGGTACTACTGGGTGGAGGCCAGGGATGATACTAAACAATCTACAGTGTTCAGAGTAGACTTCCACAACTAAAAGTTGACCAGCCTTTCTAGGCAGCAGGGCTGAGGATGAGAGACACTGCCTGGGCTGGATGTTGGTCACCCCTGTGTGGGAACAGGGATTCTTCCCACCTCTGCTCTGGTGGTATTGAAATGCAAATGCCCATCTGTTCTGTGCTCAGCTGAAAGGGAAAAGCATCATCAGGATCATAAAAGTAAAGAATGTTTGCCAGGAATAGCACCACGGAACAGCATCTGCCTGACAAGTGCCAGGACCTGAGTTCAATTCCAACTACCATTACTGAAAAAAAAGGTTTAAAAAGAAAATAGCACTATATACATTGTCTATGAGACAACCTCAAAGGAGTGAAGTGCAAATACTTGTTATTGAAAAACCTGTCATGAAACAGTCTTTAACAGGGCTGGTGAGAATAGCTCAGCGATCTAAAGCACCTGCTTTGGCAACCTTAGGCAGGCACAGGGGACCACAGTTTGATCCCTGTTATTACTGCTGCGCCTACCCTTCCCTCAGCGGGGCTGAACTGGCTGAAAAAGGAAAAAGAAAGAAAAGAAACAGTCTTTAGAAATGTCTGTGAAGTGTGGTAGCGGATGCCTGTAATCCCGGAACTCAGGAGGCTGAGGCAGGAGGATCACCATGAGTTTGAGGCCAGCCTGGGCTACATAGAAAGTTCAAGGCCAGCCTGAGCTACATAGTGAGACCCTGCCTCAAAAACAAGAATTGAAAGTTGTTTTTACTTGTTTTTCTTTGGTGATGTTGCTGCTAAGTTTGTTAAAAGGAAAGAGAGAGAAAAAAATCTAACCATGAAGTTTATTTACCATTTATAAGCACTTAGGAAAAAGCAACTTTAGTTTTGTGACACTTCCAAGCCAAATATCAGAGAGGTTTGAAATTTTGATGTCACCCATTAAATGGGGATCCTGGGCTTCATGAAAAAAAATGGGTTACTTTCTGGGAAGTACTTATAGTAATCATATTACCTGTTTTTACATTGTACATATTTCTAGCATTAAAAAGCAAATTACTTGTCTTCTTCAGATGCCACCACCTAATCAAACACCAGCCCCAGATCAGCCATTTCCTTTGTCTACAGTTAGAGAAGAATCATCCACTCCAAAAGCAGATTCTAAGAAAAAATGGGTTTATCCTTCAGAACAGATGTTCTGGAATGCAATGTTAAGGAAAGGGTAAGTGAGTGTGTTATTTAGAACATCAATTTGCTCATCTCATTTGTGTAAGAGTTACATGTTAAGATGGTTTTTACCCCATAATTGTACTGTTAATTTTTTATGAGTAATCAGTTGTAATAATCAATGGATGTTCAAACCCATCAGAACATAAGTGCAAGTTAGTGTTCAGAGAAACAGAGCAAAAAGAATATGTGTACGTGTAAGACAAGGAAGGCAGGGAGAGTTATTCTATAGAACTGACTGTGGAAGTCCTAAGACCTCCAGCCAGCAAGCTAGGGACCTAGTTCTAGTCTAAATTCAAATCGCAAGGACTAGGAGAGATAGGAGTGTCAGTTCCAGTCTGGAAACTGGCAGGTTCAAAACTCAGGAGAAGCCCGCATTTACATGCAAGTTCAAACTCAGGGAGGACTCATGTCACAGCTCTAGCGGTCCAGCAGGAGGAGTTCCATCCCACTTTTGTTACATGTAGGCCTGTGGCTGAGTGGATGCAGCTTGCCCAATTGAGTAGGTCGGTCTGTTCTACTCAGTCTGCTGGTCTGCATAGTCATCTCACTCAACTTAACCTCACTGATCCTAGGACAATGATGGTGAACGTTTTAAAGCTTTCAGCAATACAGCCTTCTGTGACACTTGTGCCGTAGGTTTGCCACCACCGTCCTAGAATAATGTTTGACCATATATCTGGGCCCTCCATGATTCCAACAGCTTGGCAGTGTAAGACTGCTCATCATAGTCAACAATAGTTTTTAAAATAAGGCACTCGTATATACAGTGCTTAGAAAGAGTTGGTGTCTTATTAGCAGTCCCGGTTGAAAAGGTACCACTTTAAAAATGGTTGGTTCTCTTAGGTGTGGCTTTTGGAGACTTGGTAAAATGAGATTATGGTGAAGCTCTAATCTTTGATTCCAGTGTATTTAGGTGCAGTAATCTTGGATTTGTATCACTGCTGCAGTCATGAGTAAGTCTTGAAAATGAGTCTTAACACCCATTAAATTCAGAGAAAATGAGCATTCTTGGTTCTTTTGTAAAGAGTAATATTTAGTAAGTCATCATATTAATGTGTGGATTAACTTTTTAACATTGTCAGTAGAGTTTCTCAAATTTTACCAAATGTCCTTTCATAGGTGGAAGTGGAAGGATGAGGATATTAGCCAGAAAGATATGTGTAATATCATTAAGATTCACAATCAGAATAATGAGCAGGCCTGGAAGGAGATTTTGAAATGGGAAGCCCTTCATGCTTCGTAAGTATGTTTGAGATCCTAAAACAAAATGCAGCAGCTTTTTTATTTCATACTGACTTTCCAGGGTTTTAACATTTTATTTTATTTAAGTAATTTTTTTTCAGAACCGGGGATTGAACTCAGGCCCTTGCGCTTGCCAGGGAAGCGCTTATTCTACTGAGCCATCTCCCCGGGCTTATTTAAATAATTTTTGGTTCAAATAAAACATTTGCGTAGCAGGCATGTTCCAGGAACTATTATTACAGGACAGATTACCCCTTCATAGGTTAAAAAATAGCAATATTTTATTCAGCTATGGACTCAATGAGTCCAGCACATGGAAAGGACAACAGAGTTGCTCCCTGACATTCAGGGCCGCAGCTGCCAACTAAGTGGTCAGGGCTGGCTCAGAGGTATAGGCTAGAGGCCTCTGAAGGCTCAGCCAGTGCTGGTCTAGCAAATGGTGCTGGCCGTCCACCAGGGCACCTGCTCCTGGCCTCTGCGTGTGACTGCTTGGACTTCCATGTCATGGTGGCTGGATTCAAGGAGCTAGAGTTCCAGAAAGCACCAAGAGGAAGCTGTGATTCCTTTTTTTTTGCCTACACTCAGAAGGCTGACAGTGCCATTATCCTGCCCCAATTCATGCAGAAGTGTTTTTGTCCATTAAAAGCTGAGTAGATGGGCAGAGACCTACTAAACTAAAATTTCATCTACGCAACGGAAATGGGAAACAGTTTTGTTTGTTCAGCAGCATTTATTGAATCCCCAGTAGGACTAATCTCAAGGAGGTGCCTTAACAAGGCGCCCTTTTTTCAGGGTGAGGAGGGAAATGCAGATAGGTGTGTGCTGGCAGAGGCGAGGTTCCAGCTAGGTTTGTTCTGACCCTGAGTGCTGGCCTCCAGCCTCAAGGTGTCTGATTTAGTCTGTGTGGGCTAGACCCAGACTTGGCATTCCTAAAGCACTCATTCCTCTGCTGCTGGTTCAAGGACTCCACTTCCAGAGGAGTAGGAAGCGTGCACCATGTCTGCATAGAGAACGCCACATATTGTAATTGCTTTTTCACATGGCTGATTCCTTATAAAATAGAACTCATTCATTTCTGGGCTAAAATCTAGTGACTGATTTGTTTAAGGTGTTCATTTTGTTTTTACTCTTTTAGTATTTAATGTGGTTCCTTAGTAGCACTTCCTGGCTGTCACTGGCCGGGCGCCAGGCCTGGGATCAGTGCACAGAAAGCAGAACATTGTAATAATATTTCCATCAGTGACTAGACTGCAGGGCTGCCCTCAGGGTTGCCGCATTGTCTACAGTGACAGAGATTAAAAGTGTGCTCTAATTAAAACCACCTGCTGGTCACTTACTGTGATTATGGGGCAGGAACACAGGGACAATGCAGTCTGTTCGTTTAAGTGCCTCTCAAGTCATCTTCCAGAATTCAAGCAAAATTAGATGTGCCCTTAACTCTTTCATGACTGGCCCATAATTCCTGTATCTCACTACTACATGGTTCTCAACCACTAGTGCTACATGCACAAGTGTCCGTCCCATCAGACACCATGGGACTGTCCCATCAGATGGTACCAACTGCATCGTATGGTCATGCCTATACCACCCATGATTCAGGTTGGCAGGAATGTGTTGAAAAAGCTATGCAGAGGTCTCTAGGAGAGAGTTTACCTCGATTGGGTTTGTTTCTGCCTGAAACATCCTCTTGAGAAGAAATAGGGAGCAAGTTCTGAATGGAAAAGTCAGTAGCTCACATAGGCTTTAAGTAGGACTCTGTTTTGCTGCCATGGATTCTTTTCTCTCTCAAACTTACAGAAACATATAAGGCTCAGACTCCGTCTTGCAAGGGGGCAGCTGACAAGTTAGGTAGCTTTATGTCTTGACTGCCTTCCCCTCTCCACTGGGGAAGCAGCTCCATGACTGTCATGCGGTTGGGCTGTGCCTTTTACAAGGCCCAGTACTACAGGGCCCACATAAGGTTGACCCCTTGGGAGCCTTTAGGGTCTATAGGCAGTGTGAGTGGATTCTGCCATCCCACAGCTTATAAGTGTAGCTGTTTACCGAAGGAGTGGGTCTAACACTGATTATAACTAGATCTGAGGCATTCATCCATCTTTTTTGTTTTTAAAGACTGTTAATTGATTTGAAGTGAAATAAATGTGTATAGTACAAGTGCAGTTTCTTTCCCCAAATATGTTCAGTGTGCAGTTTGAATTTACAGGCATGGAGCCCACAAATACAGAGGGCTGACTATGTAGGACTTTATTATGTTTGCTCTTGATGAAGATCCCCGCTGATCTATGTAAAAGGAAAGTTCTTTCTGAGAACAAACCTTTCCCCCTGCTCACTGTAGAAAGGCCCTAGTTCTTGGCTGCGATGGAGGTGTGGTGCAGATGTCTGGAGGAAAGGTGGAAGGCTGAGATGTGCTCAATCCAGAAACAAAGAAGAGAGCCAAGGAGGCGGCTCAGTGGAATAAGTGCTTCCCTGGCAAGCGCAAGGGCCTGAGTTTAATCCCCAGTTCCACCAAAAAGAAAAAAAAAACAAAACAGAAGCAAAGAAGGATGTTCACAACAAATAGGGCCAATGTGTTGGAATAGTTTTAGCACTTACCATTCTCTGTCAATGTGGTTTTGTCTAAAACACGTACTGAAAAATGTATGTTACTTAAAACTGGAAGATCATATTTTTCACAGGAAAGAAAATGTTTAATAGACTTATTTGGGGGTTTCTAGGGAGTGTCCTTGTGGTCCATCATTGATTCGATTCGGAGGGAAGGCAAAACAGTATTCACCAAGGGCAAGAATTCGTTCCTGGATGGGGTAAGTATCTGTAGAAATGTTACTTTATGTTCATCGGAGCAGGGCCAGCTTTGTCTTGGGATTAGAATCAAAGAACATAAGAACTACTATTCTGTCTTCTAAAGGTCAGCATTCAGCTACAGATTTCTTCTCTTCAAAATTTACTCATTGATTGGACAGATGTATTAGGATATAGCAGTTAGGATACAGTTGGAGGAGCAAACCGAGTTGTGTATTCCTGGATCCTTCCTCTAACTCCTTGTAATCTTTGGGTCCATCCCGTTAATGCCCTCCTCCCCTGTGCAGCTCATATTCTTAGCACGTGCTTGTACTGCTGACCTTCTTTCCCAGGGTCTCTTTCCCATGAATGTTATTCCTTTGTAGACAGCAGAGCTGTCACCTGACCTGGGCCCATCACAGTTCTTTAGCACTGTGTCCCCTTAGTACTATAGCCATCTGACTCTCTCGGTCTCACCTTCCTGGTTAGCTGTTCAATATGGGCAGCAGGTAGGTGCTGGTTCTCAGTCTTCCCTGCTGCTTAAGCCAGGACCCAGTGCACAGGCAACCTTTAGCACTCACCTGGATTCTCTTCTAGGTATGAGTTGCCTTTCGACAGGCATGATTGGATCATCAACCGCTGCGGGACAGAAGTTAGATATGTGATCGACTACTATGATGGTGGCGAAGTGAACAAGGACTACCAGTTCACCGTCCTAGACGTGCGTCCCGCCTTGGATTCGCTTTCCGCTGTATGGGATAGAATGAAGGTGGCTTGGTGGCGTTGGACTTCATAACTACTGTTTTGTTTGTAATGGAAAAAGATAAAGTATTGTTTTTCTGAAAGGTACATTAAAGTATTTCCCCTAAACTGAATCCCACTCATGATGTAAAGAGAACTTGGAGTGGCAGTAACACTTCATCATTTACTTAGCAAGGGCTGCCATGCTCCATGAACCTTTGAGTCACATTTTGCCTTGCAGTTTATAGTAGACCACTTTAAGTTTTCCTCCCACTTCATTAAAGTGGGACACAGCCCTTTGGATTTTTCTTCAGCTTCACTGTTGCCTGTGTAGTTCATCTAAAAAGGTCTTGACCTCTGTAAAAGAGCTTTTGAAAAGTGTTGCTAATTATCTTGGTTTTTCAGGGATAAGATGTAAAACCTGAAATTCAGTGCAATGTTCACAAACATTTTCCTGGTCAGATATTTTAACTAAAACTTAAGAAATTCCTACGACATAGTTATGCTTTGTAAAAAGTGACCAGCATTTCTGAAGTCCCTATAATTTAATAGTACCCCTGAACAAAATGCAAAGGTGTACACTGGACATTTAGCAAGAATAAGCATGTCTTTGTTCTCCAAATTCTCATTTATATGAATATTTAGACTGGATCTTGCTACAGAAATTTCAACTCACCACGAGGTGGTAATGCACATATTTTGGAACACATATCTTAACTTATTTTTCCTTTTAATTCCTATAAATCTAATACGTAAATCTGCTCCCCAGAAAGCAGGTATTCTCATTGTCTCTGGCATTTGACAAGTCATCTGAGCATTGAGTTCATTCCTTCCTACCCTGAGAGCTGTCCTTCCAATCAGCTGAATCCAAACTCTGGCTGAAGTCACAGTGCTAGTGCTGATCTCTGTAAAACACGACTATATGTGGTTGTGGATGAAAGGTCACAAGATGAGTATCTTTTTTTCAGAAGTAAAATATTGACATCAATTCAATGTCTAGATTTTTTTTTCTTCTAGGGGAAGCTCTAAATTTGCTGTTGAAATTCTTTGTTTCAATAACCCGTGGACTGCTTGTTCCAAGTATAGCAGCATGGTACAAATGACTGGTTTTTCCGCAGTGTTGATCATATTAAGCCTATTTATTCTGAATACTGTAGTGTTAGTGGATGGAATTGGCAGTCTGAATGATTAACTTGGTGTGGATTTTCCTGTTGTATCAGTTCTGTATGGTATTTCAAAATTTCAACAATCGTAAGTTGTACGTGTCAGAATATTTATATATTTTTAAATAAAGCTGATAGTTAACAGGTTTTGCAAATCTTTTCAGAGTAACTTTCTGAGTAATTGTTTCTTCAGACTGTCATCTATAGTCTCTCCCCTTGAGGCAGCCATTTCCTCATCTGTTCATTGCATATTTTTTTTTTTTTTGGTGGAACTGGGGATCAAACTCAGGTCCTTGTGCTTGCCAGGGAAACATTTATTTTACTGAGCCATCTCCCCAGCCCCAATATTTTTAAACTGTACCAAAAAAAACCCAATTACTGGTGGCATTTTCTGGTTCTAAATGCTATTAATCAAGTATAGGATTATGGCATGAGAAAAAAAGTACTGTAACTGGATAAAACCACATGTAAGGATTCACCCTAGTTACAGGGCTATGGTACTTTTTGAGACACACCATTGAAAATAAACTTGCAGCCTCGGTGCCAAGGTCAGCAGTTTTATGCATCCCTCAGCACTTGCAGGGCAGCAGCCTGCTGGGTACTCTGAGTTCTTTCATGTCTGATCCTGCTCAGGGATCAGGACTTCTTTGCTCTCTGAAGAGTTCTCATGTGTAACTTGAAAGTCATTTGGGTCATCTCTAGGGTTTTAAACGTAAGTCTTTTGTCTGTGAAAGTGGCACTGTTCCGAATCAGAACATCTACTATACATCAGGCTCTTAGTGGATAAAGGGAGGTTCTGACTGGGATCACACATTCACATTTTGTATTTCTGTAAATTTATAAGTTAATGTTGATGAACTACTTGTATCCACTTAGCATCATACTGGGAACAAAAAAATTGAGAAAGGTATATCCCCTACTTGTGGGGAGCCCAGTCTTTTGGAGGGAAGCCTACAAATGAAATAGAAGTGTTAGTGCAGTTCTACTTTAAAGAACATATTGTGTGTGGTAATCCTGGTAGGGGCTGCAAAAGTTTAGTTATTTTTCCCCAGTTTTGGAAAACCAATCTGGGGTGCTCTACCACTGGGCTACATTCCCAGCCTCCCCTTTTTTCTGAAGTTTTAAGGGATCTTGCTGCCTCAGCCTCCCATGTGGCTCAGCTACTACACCCAGCCACATAGATATTTCTGAGTATATATTGTTACCATTATTTTTACTGAGTCACTAATTGGCTTATCGTGTATGAGAGTTATTGTTCCTGTTTGCCGTTTGCAGTGACTGTCAGAATCCATGATTTTGAAGACATACTGGGCTGGGGGTATAGCTCGGTGGGAGAGTGCTTCCCTAGAATGGCTAGGGAAGGCTCTGCATTTAATGCTCAGCACTGCAAATAAAGAAATGGATCTTGAGCATTCTGGGGTTTTTTGTCCGTCTTGTTTTATTTGCTTCTACACCCCTAGTGCCCAGAGATACTGCCACATACACCAGCAAAGCCAAACACCTCCAGTGACCTTAGCCCTACTGCTCCATTTGCTCCCAGGTGAGAATTCAGGCAAATGTCCACAGAGGCCACAGACAGCATATGTACGATTCTGTTAGATCCCATAGATTTCCTTTCTGTAGACTAAAGACATTTTCTTTTAGAGATTTTCATGTTAGTATTATCTTTAAAAAATCTTGTGTTAACTTGCCTCCATCATTTCCTTGGGTAAGGAAGTCCTAGAAGTGACATTTTTGTGTTTGTGATGTTACTGTTCACAGCTTTTCTTGATAGGCCAGTACAATCTTGGGAAGAGGGTTGCTGTATGCTGAAGGTCTGATAGTAGCCCTTAGCCTTGCCTATCTTAGGTAGTTATGCTGTGCACTTTTTATTGGTGTACCATGTTTGATTTATCCCTAATATCTTAAATTTGGAGTTTTTCTGAGAAATGGTGCAGTAATACAGCATCAACTTACTAAAGTACATTTTAAGCCTTTAAAAAAAGAAGAAAAGAAATGAACGAGGGCCAGCCAGGTAGCACAGTGAACTGAAGCACCTGCTTAGGCAGAGCACAGCAGCCAGGATTCGATCTCCGGTGCCCTGCCGTCCCCACCTCCAGGGCGCACTAAGATGACAATTGAGACTGGGACCCTGTAGACACTGTAGTCCCTGCACTAAATACATAAAGAAAAGAAATGGAGAAAGGAAGGGAGAGAAAGAGGGACAGAAGGGAAGAAGGAAGGAAAACTGTTGAAGGCAGACAGCTGGTATACGATTTCTGCTCTAGCCTTTACTTGCTGTGTGATCTCAGTGTCTCTGGGCCTCAGCTTTCACAGCTGCGAAGTGAGACTCCTCCATGAAACCTCCAGAGTTGTGCAGTTCCTGTGCGGCATGCCTGGGAGTGCTTTGGACAGACCTGGCAGGAGGGACAATCTTAGTAACTAGCAGCAATTATCACATGATGGGTGGCAAGTAAAGTGAGATTCTAGGCCATGGAAAGGGAAGTGCTGAGGAACATCACAGGAAACCATCTCTGATCCTATTGCTGCCAAGAAAAATCTTTTTAGCAGGCTGACAGCAGAGGTGAATCCTGGTTTGGTTCAGTTTTAAATATCACTGGCGACTGTATGGGGGGGACTCATTAAGCACAAGGATACATTTAAAATCACTGTGGGAGATCCATTAATAAATAGAAACGTGACAGGGTGACATTTGACTTACTTCACGTACAAGTGCTAACAAAACTAAAAACTAAGCTCTTGTGCTTCCTGATCTAAAATGTAGCAATATAAATGTAGAACTCAAGTCTGTACATAGGAAGGAATGATTAAGAGGGGACTGGGAAAAAATTTACAAATCCAGAGTAATTCTTTGTTTACTGCTTTGCAGTTTGTTAAATTTTCTGTTAAAAAATGAGCTAGAGTTGCCACCTCCATGTTTGCAAGTAACAGCCACCACATACTCCCATAGCCATGGGCCACTGCTCCAAGCAGCTATGAAAGCAAATGTCAAATGGAAGGGCCCCTTTTGCAGCTTTGCTTGTTGCCCATTTCTTCCCCAAATTCCCCCATCTCACCTCAGTCCTGAACATGGAATACTTTTACTACACTTGGTTTTAATAACAAAAACTTTTTTGGTGAGTTTGTCTCCCATGACTCCTATAAGCGATGGCATGGAGCAGGATGACAGCAGAGTGCAGACAGAGGTCCCCCAACTGGTTCACAGAAAACCCCTGTGCTGTGCTGCTTCTATGTGGATTTTCACAAGAGGAACATGCTCTGGTGCTGGCCCTTTGCTCAGCATATTATTCTGCCAGAGTGGTCTCAGCCAAGTGCCACAGCTGGAAGCCAGAAGACCAAGATGAGTGTGTCATCAGGGCTGTGCTCCATCTGAAGGTTCTTGTGAAGGATGTTCCAGTTTCTCTGCTTGCTCCTGGGTAGTTCTTTGGCCTGTGCCAGTGTAATTAATGTGTGCATGTCTGTCTTTGCCCTTCTTTATGAGAATTCCAGTTATATTGACCCCTCTCCCCACCTCAGCATCTTCTTGGCAGGTAATCTGTAAAGACCGTTTCCAAATAAGGTGACAATCACACATTTTTAGGCACTGGGGTTTGGGACTTTAACCTCTTTGCAAGGGCGGAGGGTGGAGGCCTATACAACTCAACCCCTCCAAAAGCACTCAACTTTTGCACAATGGCTGTGAAAAACTCCCAGCCCAGCTCCTCCTTCTGATGTCTGATTGCTGTCATTGCTGAATTGCTCCAATGCTCATCTGCCACCTTGCTTCACTGTGACACCATGAGCTAGGGTTGCTTTGCTCCCTGGGAAGGTGTTACCTTTGCAAGCTTGCACATGCTCATGGCCACAGCACCTTTGGTACCTCCAGGATAGGGTGCGTAGCTCATGACACCTTGGCTGGAAGTCTCAGTGAGACATGAGAGGGAGGGCAGGACCCACAAACACCTCGATGAAAAGTGCCAGTT